GAAAAAATCTTGTATACAATACGTTACGAAACGAAGTCTTTTAGTCACTCGACGTGTTGTCCAACTCATCGGCTTTGCCTCGTTGGACAATTTTCACGTCGTACCTATGCCTAAAAGACGCTCCATTTCGCAACCTATTGTATAAATAGCTATTTTTGCATCAGACTTTAAAACCTTGTTTGTAATTTTCTTATGTTAAGTAATTTCAAACTATTTTGACCAGTAAAGGAATCTTTTATTAACTTTTCAATAAACATATCAAAAACTTGAAACAAATATAAACTCTTACTAAAAGAAATAGTTTTCTTTGTGCAAGTTTTCACAATATACATAAAGAAATAAAAGGAGATCTATAATTTGGTCTTAACTGCAAAATAGTACTGTTTGGGTCTTCTCCCGCACACATTCCGTGAAACAGAAAATCTCGATCGATAACACGAAGGTCGTTGACCCTTCGTAAGAAAGCAAGAGTTACCCGAAAAAATATAGTAGGCGCAAACCAATGACGCAAACAAACCTGAACGGTTGATTTTACAGCAAAACCGATCATACATTCAAATATTAGTTTTTCATAAAATATCATTTGACACAACTTTGAAGTTAATCCATGATTGAAAACTTCGGTTAAATTTGATTTCCGGCGGTTTAATTCAAAGTTGGTGTCGCATGATGTGGAATCGGTTTTGCTGTTAAATTAACCGTTTAGGTTTTATAGCCTATCAAAGTTGCAAAAAACTAAATTTTCAATTGTCAATACCTATTTCCGAAACAGTTGAAGATAGGTATATGATATTGTATATTGTATACATGAAATAGAACTAGAATTTTCTACAGAATCCAGAAACGTCATAATATACATGGGGTGCCATTTAAAAAAGTAGAGTTGATACCAGCGAAGCTATTTTTGAGGCACCCTGTATAATAAAAAATAAATTGAAAAATTTCAAGAAAAAACAATATTGACGTGTTTGAGCGATTTTTCAGAAATTCTACCGTTTTCAAAATATCGAATTTATGCGGGACTTTCTGATCTCACTGTTTATTAAACTTCATAGCTAAATTCCGCTTACAGTAACATCCGCCCTCTATTCATACCTATGCCCTGACATATTATTTTTAGAGGGTGGTCATTGGTTAGGACAGAATTATTTTTTTTTTTTAATAACTTTATTTGTTCTGCTGGATTCTTTGTAAGTAAACTCTTTTGTGTATAGGTATGTACTGGAGCATTTAATACATGTCCCAAGATTGATGTCTCGCTCTATCATTATTCAACTTTATATACACCATACACCGGTAAATTATTGTGGGACTGTGACTGTGGCTCAAAATTCAAATACCAGTAGGTAAGTACCGTTCGTATATTATTCATATACAGTGTGTCCCGCTCAAGGACTGACCAGCCTTCTAAAATTTTTATTTTTTAACCGATTCAATTTTTTTTTTGTCATATATACTCAAATTTGGCGTACAGGGTGTCCACATTTATAGGCTCAAATTTCAATAAGTACTACTATTGGGATTTTTACAGAAAATATCTAAGCAAATTCTTGTTTAGAATGGTCTAAAACCCAAATGTACTCATTTTTGTTTCAATGCCATATACAATTATGATTACAACACCTCATGGGTTTTTGGTGTTCTGTCAAACTCAATGAAATTTTGAGATGTGGTATATCTTGACTTAGGTACTGATAAAAAGTTCTCATGGGCCCAACCGGATACTATGAATAGTTACCGAAATACAGGCGGTTTAATGTCCAAGAAATGTACACATTTTATATGCATTCACATCTTCCTGTCACCTATTAATAGGTCTGTCAGAGTGAATTTTATTGGTTGAAACTAGTTTTCTGACTGTTTCTGACTGTTTTCGACCAATCAAATTCGCTCTGACGGGTTTGTGATTTTTGCAGAAACAGACCTAATATTAGGTAGATGTGAATACATATAAAATGTGTACATTTCTTGGACATTAAAGTACCTGTATCTCAAAAACTAATCATAGGATTGGTTCAGGCCTATGAGAACTTTTTATCAGGAAGTTAAGGTCTATCACATATCAAAATTTCATTGAGTTTGACTGAAAACCAAAAACCCATAAGAGGTGTGCGGGGTCCTTTTCCAAATTTAATGAACCAAACCGCAAAAATGCCAAACAAATTGTAAAAATAAAATCCATGTCCTTATTTAAAAAAATTAAGTTTATGATGATTGCCATGAAACGAAACGTCGGATTAAAAATTTGACCCATCTTGTAGGGGAAAAAGTGGCTACGATGATGTGGTATTTTCTTTTATTTATATTAATCGCTTTAAATAAAGTCAGGAAAAAAATAAAAACGATTTTTTCGTTTTTTCTAGATATCTCCGGAAGTATTCGAAATATCCTGAATATCAAACCGGCATTTCGTCGAAAGCATCAAATTACGTAACTTAGACTCAATTTACCCAACCCTGTGTCCTGTATCTCTCACCGTTTCCGAGATCCTGATGAAGTGGCTCGAATTTGAAACACCCTGTACATATTGTTCGTCGATTTTTAACTGATACTTGCGGTATGAGGAGCGAGGGGGTGTTTCATATGGGAAAAACAGGTGTGACGTCAGGTAACCATTGACGTTCTAATGTAGGGAGCCACCAGCTCACATTCCGTCTGAGTATCAGATTAAAATCGACGAACAATAGATCATATTTTCTCTAATCTACATTCCCAATTCTCTCTTTTTGCCCACCTCCTGTCTCACTGGCGTTTCTCGATTTTGAGGAATACAATACTGTCAAAAGCTTCATAACTTTTTCCTTATGAAAAGAAAATATTTGATTTTTGTAAATAGGTACTTTCTAAAAGCAGTTTTTGAAGTAGAATCCAGTGTCTTTCTCAGTTTTTTTTTTAAATATTTTTCCCTGCTATCGAGAAATAGGGAATCTTCAAGTGAACTAAAATTTTCCAAGTTTGTGTTAAATCGATAGTTTACACTGCACAATATTTATAGGACCAGTTTTTATTTAATTGATGCTGCTCTTGTTACACAAAAAAATGCTAAATTTGAAATGAAAGATTTTCCGCCAAAACAATGCTTCCATGATGGCTACGTTTTTTGACGTCACGATTCTGTAAACAAACCTGTCAATAGGGAAAATGCAAGTGATATAACGTATAGATTGAAATGGAAAAAAAGAAAACTATGTAATATATGATCGCTAGAAGTACCTATCTAAAAAAAAAAAAAATTAAGAAATATGAAAATTCCCTATCGACCGAGTCCGTATAGGACAACCTTAACTCACAAATCATTTAATAGCTTGGTTTGCGAGTGTTTGTTAACAAGTCTTCAAAAAAAAAACAATAAAAGATTGCTATGTTTTTTTTTTTTTTCGAGCGTGCGGAAAACGAGTTCTCACGCACTGATTAGCATGGAAAGTACCACTTTTCCGCACTGCGTGCGTAAAAAAAAAATTACCGCACGGCGTGCGCGAAAAAAGCTTTTCACGCACGCTGTACCCGAGAATAGTTATTTTTGTATCAAGGGCGCGAAATGCTACTTTGGTGATCGAGATCTGATTTTTTTAAGGAGGCGCAGCCGAGTCAAAAAATAGTCGAGATCACCAAAGTATTTCGCGCCCGAGTTGCAAACAATATTTTTTCTACAACTCCATTTAAATATCAATCATTCGAAGCCAAAATAGCATTTTCAATCAAAGGTAGGTGAATTTTAATTATTTTTGATTTCCTGACAGGTATGTGTCACTATGACACCTGGTGTGCGAACTAGCTATTTCGCGCACAAGTGCGCGAAATAGCTAGTTCGCGCACGGCGTCATGGGAACGTTAAAAAATCAATACCTGGAAAAAAAAGTGCCACTTCGCAAACTGTCATGAATGTGCGAACATCATCATTTTCTGACAGTTGTAGAAAAAAAGAATATATGTTAATTTCCGCAGGCTCGTAGGAAAAATGTTGTACCGAACACGAGTGTAAAGTATCTTGTCCGCACTTACGGCGTACGAAAAAGTATAACTTTTCGCACTTAGTAAATAACTATGAAACGTATGTCTTGACAATATTTTTCTTTAATTTTGTCAATGAGCTTTGATGTCAAAATGTCATGTCATATGACATATATCCTGACCAATGAAGAAGCAATATAATGCGACGTTCGTTTTCGTAATCAAAGCAATCTTTGATTGTTTTTTTTTTTGAAGACTCTATGTTTATCTCTAACATTTTCGAGAAAAAATAATTATATCTGTTTTTGATGTTTTATTTAAAAAAATTGGACTTTGGTCAATTTCTCGAGATCGGGATATAATAGAAAAAATAAATAAAATAGTACGTCTCTGGATTCTGCCCTAAAAAGTACTTTTAGAAAGTGTTTACAGAAATCAATTTTTTCATTAACACAAAAGGTATGAAGCATTAACAGTACCTACCTATTGCGCAAAACCGAAAAACCCTCCTTTAGGTGCGGAACAACAATGAAAATTTCATGAAATTCGAGCCTCGGAATGGGGGGTTAATTTTTTTTAAATTTCTTGAAATTGACGTTTATTAAAAGTGTTTAAATTGGTCCATTCTGTATACCTAAACCTGAATTCCTTGGATATTGGGCTTTATCTGTTCAATACAGGTACTTATAAGCTGTGCTTATTATATTGTATTTTACAGCAATCGTCTTTTCCTTTTTGGAAATCCATCATATTTAACCAAACTCGGAAAGCTACAAAAATCTGCAATTTCCATCCCAAGAATGAAATATGGAACTATCAATATGTGTGGATCTTTTCTACCAGGAGACTAATTTGCATGGGCTTATTCAAAGAAGAAAAATGGTATAATGTATATAAGTAGGTAGGAATCAGTGCAATAGCTTTTAACAATATCCATATTTTGTATATACATATCATGAAGATGGAATGAACGTATGTGCCTATATCAGAAAACATTTTTTCAAAACTTTTTTTGCATCTTTGATAGCCATTATAATAGTAAACTCAAAATGCCGGAATTTAGAAATGGAATTGCAAACATTAATAGTAAGATAGAGAGAGAAAAAATTGTCCAGACTTTTATTAACGAGTTTAAGTTATCAATAAAAGACTTTTTCAATGCCAGAAACAAACAGAATGTATTCTATTCCCAACTTTGTAAGTTATTAAAACTAAAAAATACTTTGAACAATCGTCTTAAAATAAATTATCTAGCAAAAAAGTATTTTAAAGCCAAATCATCTGAAAAAGACTTTAAAATGAATATTTCTACACCAATTGAGCGCAATCAAACACAATCTATAGTTGCCCCTAACTCTTCTTTTCACGAAGTGTTTAATTCCAAAGACTTTAATTGCCTTAAGCCTGCTGTTGAAAAAATCGATCAAAATTCACCTGCATATTCCAATTGCTTGTCAATTGATTGTCTTGGAGATCAAAAAGCTACTCCAACCGACTGCTTTCAAGAAAACGAAAACATTAATCCCAATTATTGTAATAAAACAGCGTCTTTTTCTAATAATTCATCTTTTATAGATTTTAATGAATCTACTGCAGAATTGCGATGTGAAACTCCACTTCATATCAATATTTCCACAGCTACTGCTTCAGAAAAAACCATTAACGAAAACCGACCATTATCTTTTACAAAATTCAAAGAATCCAATGAATTGCAATGTTCAACTCCACTTGTTACAAAGAACTCTAACTCAATTATAAATAGGTCTGTAGAAAATGTAGATTATCCCACATCACTGCCTATTACTGCTGAAGACGAAAATAGTTCAACAAAGAATATTACTCCAGAAAATGTAGAATTTCCCAAAATTTTTTCCAATTTGCCAAAAAACAATGATTATTCTAAACCACTGCAAAAAAATGCGCACAATAGTTCTTTTCTGCCAATATCTCAATTTAAGGATTGTACTTTTTTTGAGGGCACATTTGAAATTTCCAATTCAATTTGGACAATAATATTTCAGAATAACAAGCTCAACCGACACTATTATCCTTTTTATTTTAAGCATCAGATAGGACAATTTGTTAATAATATTTGCCTTTTTATATTTAAAGGGGTTAAATATGCATCGAACAAGAAAATTAAAATATATGCCGTATGCAAACATAATAATTATGGTTGCAAAAAATTTAAAATTGATGTTGATTTGGAAACATTGTCTGTGGTTATTCACAGTTCATCTATAAATTACTGTCACAAATCAAAATTAACATCTCACGTTAAAGGTTTAGAAAGAAAAATTACGAAAAACAACATGCTCAATAAAATGCCGTTGAATGTAAAAAAAGAGTGCATACTAAAATCGGAAAAATCTTTAATAATAAAAGGCAATTTGCAGGAAATAAAATCAGACACGACATTTAGAAAAATAAAGTCCGAAGCAATGGCACATTTCGATCGCGACAAGGAGGACTTGTTTGATATGTTCAAAATGCAGAAAGATCACCCAGAATACATAAAAGAGGTGTCGGTGCCATTCTGTGTGCAAATCTACAGCAAGGAACAATTAGAATTATTATGTTGGCAAAAAAAAGCAGTAAACTTTGTGGTGCTACATTTTGATGCAACTGGTACCGTAGTAAGAAAACCAAATGATTTATCGAAAAGGGTATTCCTTTATTCTGGTGTTATACTTCTTTATCAAACACAGCGCGTTGCACCCATATTCGAAATGATTACAAGCGAACACTATGTGAAATCAATTTACAAAATTTTTATTAATTTCCGTTTTTTTTGCGAAAAATATTCTCGATGGCCACTGTTTGACGCAGTAGTCACTGATTTCAGTTTTTCTAACATTCACGCCATAGTCCGTTCATGTAATATGTTAACCCTGGTAGAGTACTTGACAAAATGTTTTAACATATCTATAAATAAAAAAGATATTCCTGATAATTTAATAACAATACATCTTTGTTGCGCACATTTCCTCAAAATGTTTTCCAATGACGTTCAGAAGTACTTTTCTGATACAGATATATTAGTTTTTTTTAAATATAGATTAGCGCAAGTTTTACAAATGGATAATCTTCAGATGATTAATGAATGGTATCTGCATATATCCACTATTTTATCCTCCCCGTATCACACTGATCAGGTAACAACATCATTGAGCAAATTCAATTTTCCTTTCAGCACAAACATAGATGATGAGTTCAATTTGACAGAGACCCCAAAATGTGACGAGGAATTTGACAACCAAAATCAATCTTTATATCAATTGAGCCCTTTCTATGCGCATTTTAAAAATATTTCTGATTTATTACATATTTCTTTTTCTGATGGAGGGGATGCTGCTAATCGATATTATGAGCCAAAATTTTTGGATTTACTGCAAAAAAAATATATGCCATATTGTGCCCTTTGGACATCATTAATGATCAAAAAATCGTTTCGCACATGTAGATTCAGTAATGCAATGGCAGAGAATTATTTCGGTTATGTAAAAGGAAATATATTGGAAGGAAAACAGAATTTAAAATCTTCAAGATTTATTCGAAAAAGCCGTGCAAATGTCCTGGCATTACATAAAGAAGCTGCACTGAGTATTCCAAAATCTAATCTAACTAGACAAAAACAACAGTTGGACAAAAATGACGAACATCAAAGTCAAGAAAGATGGAATAGAAAAAGTAGAAAAATAAATACGTATTTTATAGGAAGATTTATGCCCAATGTTGATTCCAACAAACCCGTACAGCCGATTCAAACAAGGGAAGAAATTACCGAACTAGCAGATTTCACGTTTGAACCACGTCAGTGTTTGTATTGCGGTGCTGGCCTCTTGGACGAAACGTCTTTTTGGGTGCAATGCAACGCCTGCAGTGGCTGGGTACATCAGGCTTGTGACGACTTTTCCCCAAATAAAACGTATTCAGGAGACTTCATTTGCAAATTATGTGTGCCAAATAATTTGAATGTGGAGAAACATCCATCTGAAAACAATGATAAAACTCTCTATGAAGCTCATTTAAAAACGCTGGAATTGAACCAAACAGACTGGCGTGAATTAGAACAGACCACAAGGATTCAAAGAGATTCAGCAGTTTGGCATAGAGAGCGACGACGGAGAATCACTGCATCAATTTTTGGGAAAATTTGCAAAGCAAAAAGCGAAACTACCAAATTGAATTTGGTCAAAAGTATTGTAAATCCGAAAAAAATCGATCACATTCCGTCTGTTCGATATGGTTCCCGTAACGAGCAGACGGCAATTAATAAATATTCCGAGTCTACAAAAAACATCGTAGAAAAAGCAGGCCTCCATGTACATAAGAAATTTCCGTTTCTAGGTGGTTCTCCTGACGGGCTTGTTGGTAACGATGGTGTAATTGAAGTCAAGTGTCCCTACTCAATAAGAAATCTTAAAATTGATGAGCAATATTTGGATTACTTGGAAGAGAACGGCAATTTAAAAAAAAACCACGAATATTACTACCAAATACAGGGCCTCTTAGAGATGACAAATAGACCATGGTGCGACTTCGTAATTTTTACTGGTCATGATATTAAAATCCAACGAATATTTCGGAACACGAAGTTTTGGGCAAATATGTTCACAAATTTAAAATCATTCTATTTCTTTTATTTCTTGCCCTATGTTGTTCGACCAGAATCCCTAAAGATTGCCCTAGAAGATCGAAAGTGGACCACCATAAAAGAGATCACCCTTTTGGAAAATGGCCTCGTCAATGATACTAATTATTACATCAAAACTGAGTCTAGAGACTAACTACACTGTGGCAATTTTTGATATACCAGAATTCCATATTAGAGAAATTTTAATTTCCGATTTCACAACTTTAAATGTAACCACCACAAACTTTAGGGATTCATGGTTAACTGGCATAATCGTCTCGATCGCTATGCATTTATTAAATAATAATAATCACTTCCAAATTATAGAAGAAATTTTGTCCACAAATATATTTACAAACCAAGAACATACGGAACACTTTTTAAAAAAAATACGGATTAACTCGGATAGGATAGCCATGCCGGTAATTGAGAATAATGATCATTTTTGTATAATTTTCATTGATTTCAATAAAAAGACGTTTACTTTTATTGACCCTATGGGTAAGGAATACCATAAAAACAAATTGTACTTAAATAAATTTCAGACTTTCATCAACTTTTATAATAACTTGAATAAAACAACTTTAAATGCAAGCGATCTCCAATTAGTTCAGGAAAAACATATTATTCAAAAAGATGGTTATAACTGTGGGCCGCTTATTCTATATTTTTTTGAAAAATATATAAAAGGTGAATTATTAGATAAAGACGTGGACTTAGCAAAATTCAGATTATTTCTGAAAGAAATGATTATTAAAAGATCATTGGACGTAAAAAATATATGCCTGTTCTGTACAAGGACCACAGAACCTAATGATTCGGATCAATGCTGGTTTTGTTACCGATTTATTCATAAAAAGTGTTTGCAAGTTAATAAATATAGTTTTTTAAAAAATAATATGTGTGACATTTGCAGAAAATATTAGGAATGTTTAGTATCTGCCAGAGATATTCGAGATTCGCACAAAAAAGTATGTTTATTTTCAAACGTCCTATAACGGTAATTTTTGTAATCATTTTGACAACGTATATGAGTCACTTCAATGACTTTCAGCTTGAGCGGCGTATAAGTGTTGTACTCCGCCGGAGTATAACATTTATACGCCGTTACACATGTTCTTCCATAGCGATTTGAGGTAGTTTACCTGTACATACAGGTATATAGTTTATTTTTTCCCAAGATAGATTTTGACATTGTCAACTTCGAAACATAAATAATGCCGCTTATTGGTCGCAAGATACCATTTGCACGACATGCATATGTACAACCAGTAAAACTGATGTCAACCTGCCAGGGACACCTCATTTTGCAACCAATCAGGGCCAAGCGGTATTGTTTATGTTTCAAAGTTTTTAATGTGGAAACCCATCTTGAGCAAAAATACACCATAGATGCTTATGAAGGTGATCCTTCCAAATATGAATGTCATAATTTAAATTGAAAATTCTGCTCTATTCGGAATAAAGATTGTTTGAAAGTAAAATATTGTATTTCATTCGGAGTATAAGTATTCTTCATATGACTTGCATGGATTTGATTCGCCACTTCCATGCGCGTCGCATAAATTACCTACTTATACTCCTAATTAAATAAATATCTATTATATTATCAGCCGGCCTGCATTTAGACAGGGAGCACGTGTCAGGAACCGCTTGAGAACAAGATTATATTGGTTTGTGAATTATTCGGTTTAAATTGTTGTAAATAATTATAGAATTATATCTATAGACTTTGATTATATAATAAAAGAGTTTTTTCCAATTTTCTCAAAAGATCTTTCAAATATTTAATGCACGAAATTAATTACCCAATCGAATCCAGAATAATACAATAATACTATACGCAAAATGAATTGCTCTTGGAATAAATTTATTCTCAACCCTTATCTGTAGAGTTTTTGCTATGGTTTATGTTTATCCGGGCATCGCGGGCATAGAAATCACTTTTTGTAGGAATCTCGAATATTTGTGGCGACGACTATACACCATTATTTATAAAACTGACGATTTCATTGATTTCATTAGAACACCCTTTCTTGAGACCACCAATTGATTAAAAAAAAAAAAAACGGACAATCAACATATTTTTTTTAATTGTACCAGTTCAATTTTGTCCTGAACCAACTTTCCAAGTTTTTTTTTATTTCTATCTAACCGAGTATCGAACCTTCTAACTTAAACTCGTTAGAATTTATTCATATTCATTGAGTAGGTTAGATTGTAAATGCACATAGTTGATGTTTTTTTTTGTATTGTTTTTTTTTGTATTGTTTTTTTTGTATTGTTTTTTTTTTTTGTGTTAGAATGAAAATTATTTTTGTTAAAGTATTTCATCATTATTATATAACTATTTCACTAATAAATAAACCAGGTTGATTGCAAAAAGCGTCTATACCTAGTATTTATCTGTTGATTAAAAAAAATCTTAAGCGTTGGAAAAATCTTATAAATTTTTAAAAATTAATTTAAATTTAAAAAAAAAATGTAACCAAAGGTAGCTTTTAACCAAGGTTTGTTGAATTTCAATTACGTTGTTAATGTAAGTTTCAGTTCAAAATTTATGTTTTAGGTAATCGTTACTATTATTGAGTTCCATTTTACAATAAAGAAGTATATATTTGGTTACTTACACCAAAACTAGTTTTATTATCTTAATAAGGCTTTCAAAATCAAAATCTTCTTATAAATTGAAAAAAATATGAACCCCTATCAAAATTCCGAGTTGCTGGAAATATTTTTTCTAAAATTTATTCAACAAATAAGCTTTCAATGGTTTAAACATAAATCTGTTGAAACGAGCAGATTTCGAGATATTTGAAAAAATATGCTCCCACCCCCCAGTTGCACCCTTTGTCCCGGGTTGCTGGGGATGAAATATTTTTTTAAAATTGAAGCATCACCTAGGTCAACTGTAGTTCAAATATAAATCTGTAGAAACGAGCAGATTTCGAGAAACTTGAAAAAATTGGAAAAATATGCTTCCAACCCCTAGTTGAACCCCTTGTCCCGGGTTGCTGGGGATGAAATATTTTTTTAAAATTGAAGCATCACCTAGGTCAACTGTGGTTCAAATATAAATCTGTAGAAACGAGCAGATTTTGAGATATTTCAAAAAATATGCTCCCAACCCTCAGTAGCACCCCTTGTCCCGGGTTGCTGGGGATGAAATATTTTTTTAAAATTGAATTAGTACCTAAGTTAACTGTGGTTCAAATATAAATCTGTAGAAACGAGCAGATTTCGAGATATTTCAAAATAATTCAAAAAATATGCTTCCAACCTCCAGTTGCACCCCTTGCCCCGGGTTGCTGGGGATGAAATATTTTTTTAAAATTGAATTAGTACCTAAGTTAACTGTGGTTCAAATATAAATCTGTAGAAACGAGCAGATTTTGAGATATTTCAAAAAATATGCTCCCAACCCTCAGTAGCACCCCTTGTCCCGGGTTGCTGGGGATGAAATATTTTTTTAAAATTGAATTAGTACCTAAGTTAACTGTGGTTCAAATATAAATCTGTAGAAACGAGCAGATTTCGAGATATTTCAAAATAATTCAAAAAATATGCTTCCAACCTCCAGTTGCACCCCTTGCCCCGGGTTGCTGGGGATGAAATATTTTTTTAAAATTGAATTAGTACCTAAGTTAACTGTGGTTCAAATATAAATCTGTAGAAACGAGCAGATTTCGAGATATTTCAAAATAATTCAAAAAATATGCTTCCAACCTCCAGTTGCACCCCTTGCCCCGGGTTGCTGGGGATGAAATATTTTTTTAAAATTGAATTAGTACCTAAGTTAACTGTGGTTCAAATATAAATCTGTAGAAACGAGCAGATTTTGAGATATTTCAAAAAATATGCTCCCAACCCTCAGTAGCACCCCTTGTCCCGGGTTGCTGGGGATGAAATATTTTTTTAAAATTGAATTAGTACCTAAGTTAACTGTGGTTCAAATATAAATCTGTAGAAACGAGCAGATTTCGAGATATTTCAAAATAATTCAAAAAATATGCTTCCAACCTCCAGTTGCACCCCTTGCCCCGGGTTGCTGGGGATGAAATATTTTTTTAAAATTGAATTAGTACCTAAGTTAACTGTGGTTCAAGTATAAATCTGTAGAAACGAGCAGATTTCGAGATATTTCAAAATAATTCAAAAAATATGCTTCCAACCTCCAGTTGCACCCCTTGCCCCGGGTTGCTGGGGATGAAATATTTTTTTAAAATTGAATTAGTACCTAAGTTAACTGTGGTTCAAATATAAATCTGTAGAAACGAGCAGATTTTGAGATATTTCAAAAAATATGCTCCCAACCCTCAGTAGCACCCCTTGTCCCGGGTTGCTGGGGATGAAATATTTTTTTAAAATTTAATTAGTACCTAAGTTAATTGTGGTTCAAATATAAATCTGTAGAAACGAGCAGATTTCGAGATATTTCATAATAATTCAAAAAATATGCTTCCAACCTCCAGTTGCACCCCTTGCCCCGGGTTGCTGGGGATGAAATATTTTTTTAAAATTGAATTAGTACCTAAGTTAACTGTGGTTCAAATATAAATCTGTAGAAACGAGCAGATTTTGAGATATTTCAAAAAATATGCTTCCAACCCTCAGTAGCACCCCTTGTCCCGGGTTGCTGGGGATGAAATATTTTTTTAAAATTGAATTAGTACCTAAGTTAACTGTGGTTCAAATATAAATCTGTAGAAACGAGCAGATTTCGAGATATTTCAAAATAATTCAAAAAATATGCTTCCAACCTCCAGTTGCACCCCTTGCCCCGGGTTGCTGGGGATGAAATATTTTTTTAAAATTGAATTAGTACCTAAGTTAACTGTGGTTCAAATATAAATCTGTAGAAACGAGCAGATTTCGAGATATTTCAAAATAATTCAAAAAATATGCTTCCAACCTCCAGTTGCACCCCTTGCCCCGGGTTGCTGGGGATGAAATATTTTTTTAAAATTGAATTAGTACCTAAGTTAACTGTGGTTCAAATATAAATCTGTAGAAACGAGCAGATTTTGAGATATTTCAAAAAATATGCTTCCAACCCTCAGTAGCACCCCTTGTCCCGGGTTGCTGGGGATGAAATATTTTTTTAAAATTGAATTAGTACCTAAGTTAACTGTGGTTCAAATATAAATCTGTAGAAACGAGCAGATTTCGAGATATTTCAAAATAATTCAAAAAATATGCTTCCAACCTCCAGTTGCACCCCTTGCCCCGGGTTGCTGGGGATGAAATATTTTTTTTAAAATTGAATTAGTACCTAAGTTAACTGTGGTTCGAATATAAATCTGTAGAAACGAGCAGATTTTGAGATATTTCAAAAAATATGCTCCCAACCCTCAGTAGCACCCCTTGTCCCGGGTTGCTGGGGATGAAATATTTTTTTAAAATTGAATTAGTACCTAAGTTA